ATTGACCTATAGTTGAACCTGTAGTTGAGAGTTTTACATGTAATTGAATTGAACCTATAGTTGAACCCGTAGTTGAGGGTTTTACATGTAATCGAATTGAACCTATAGTTGAAACCGTCGTTGGGAGAGTTTTACATGTAATCGAATTGAACCTATAGGTTAACCCTTAGTTGAGAGTTTTACATGTAATCAAATTGAACCTATAGTTGAACCCGTAGTTGAGGGTTTAACGTATTAACTGTAGTTTTAGGTGAATGGCATTATTCAACTGAACCTTGATGCTTTCAGTCAATCTTTGGACATTTAAACTGAGTCTTTACACTTTTTTAACCCTTAGTTGAGAGAGTTTTACATGTAATCAAATTGAACCTATAGTTGAACCCGTAGTTGAGGGTTTAACGTACTAACTGTAGTTTTAAGTGAATGACATTATTCAACTGAACCTTGACGCTTTCAGTCAATCTTTGGACATTTAAACTGAGTCATTACATTTTTCTTTTAATTGTTCAATTATTTCAATTTTTAGACCAATAATTCTACTGGAACAAGAAAAATGTTTTTATTAATTTCTTAAAATAGTAATTTATTATTTTCTAATCTGATCAAATTCACACTGCAAGTTAACATGTTAATATGCCAAAATTTAAACAAAATATCCTACTGAGTTTGTTTACTTGTTTACTTTTCTTAATTGGCATTTGTTTATTTAGCCGCCACACTTTGCCATGAAATGCATGAACTTTTTCAGTTTTTGCTTTACTTTGCTCCATTTGCCCACAAGTTTCTTATATATTCTTCTCAATGTCCACATTTTACATGAAATATAAGGAATAACTCTATGTAAATCAGAGAAAATATGCTGCAAGTGTTTTTTCTCCAAATTAATAATTACAGATAAATCACATAATTGAAGCTGTTTCTGTTACACTAAATTATTTCGTTACTTGTTATACTATAGAGAATTAAAAAATATCATTTAACAATGATGCACACCTCAACATTAATCTTGAGTTAAATTTGAATCTGTCGTTGAGAGTTTTACATGTAATGGAATACAGTTGAACCCATATTAACCCATGTTAAATTGAACCTATAGTTGAACCTGTAGTTGAGAGAGTTTTACATGTAATTGAATAGAACCTATAGTTGAACCCGTAGTTAATGGTTCTACATATTATTCAATTGAACCTATAGTTGAACCCGTAGTTTGAAGCTAAATTGTTATTTAATTGAACCTGTAGTTTGCCAGTTTAGTTGAAAATAGAACCCGCAGTTGAGAGTTTTACATATAATTGAATTGAACCTATAGTTGAACCCGTAGTTGAGAGTTTTACATGTAATTGAATTGAAAAAATTTCATTTAACAATGATGCACCCCTAAACATTAATCTTGAGTTAAATTTGAATCCGTAGTTGAGTTTTACATGTAATGGAATACAGTTGAACCCATATTAACCCATGTTAAATTGAACCTATAGTTGAACCTGTAGTTGAGAGAGTTTTACATGTAATCGAATTGAACCTTTAGTTAAACCCATAGTTTATGGTTCTACATATTACTCATTGAACCTATAGTTTAACCCGTAGTTTGAAACTTAACTTGTTATTTAATTGAACCTGTAGTTTGCCAGTTTAGTTGAAAATAGAACCCGCAGTTGAAAGTTTTACATATAAATGAATTGAACCTATAGTTGAACCCGTAGTTGAGAGTTTTACATGTAATTGAATTGAACCTATAGTTGAACCCATAGTTGAGGGTTTTACATGTGATCGAATTGAACCTATAGTTGAACCCGTAGTTGGGAGAGATTAACATGTAATCGAATTGAAAATTGTTATTCATGGTTGTGATGAAACATGAATTTTTAAACTCTAAAACTTTAAACTATTTTCAACTAAACTGACAAACTATAGGTTCAATTTTAGGTTTATTGAATAACATGTAAAACTCTCAACTATGGGTTCAACTATAGATTCTATTTTCAACTAAACTGATAAACTATAGGTTCAATTATAGGTTTATTGAATAACATGTAAAACTCTCAACTACGAGTTCAACTATAGGTTCTATTCAGTTAAATGTAAAACTCTCAACTACAGGTTCAACTATAGGTTCTATTTTCAACTAAACTGATAAACTATAGGTTCAATTATAGGTTTATTGAATAACATGTAAAACTCTAAACTACAGGTTCAACTATAGGTTCTATTTTCAACTAAACTGACAAAGTATAGGTTCAATTATAGGTTCATTGAATAACATGTAAAACTCTCAACTACGGGTTCAACTATAGTTTCTATTCAATTAAATGTAAAACTCTAAACTACAGGTTCAACTATAGGTTCTATTTTCAACTAAACTGACAAACTATAGGTTCAATTATGGGTTCATTGAATAACATGTAAAACTCTCAACTACGGGTTTAACTATAGTTTCAATTCAATTACATATAAACTCTCAACTACGGGTTCAACTATAGGTTCTATTCAATTAAATGTAAAACTCTAAACTACAGGTTCAACTATAGGTTCTATTTTCAACTAAACTGACAAACTATAGGTTCAATTATAGGTTCATTGAATAACATGTAAAACTCTCAACTACGGGTTCAACTATAGTTTCTATTCAATTAAATGTAAAACTCTAAACTACAGGTTCAACTATAGGTTCTATTTTCAACTAAACTGACAAACTATAGGTTCAATTATATGTTCATTGAATAACATGTAAAACTCTCAACTACAGGTTCAACTATAGGTTCTATTCAATTACATGGAAAACTTTCAACTACCTACGGGTTCAACTATAGGTTCAATTCAATTACATGTTAAACTCTCAACTACAGGTTCAACTATAGGTTCAATTCAATTACATGTTAAACTCTCAACTACGGGTTCAACTAAAGGTTCAATTCAATTACATGTAAAACTCTCAACTACAGGTTCAACTATAGGTTCAATTACTTACTACAGGTTCAATTTTCTACTATATACAGCTTTAACTACAGGTTCATGGATGCAGTTTTAGAATATGAAAATATGATTAACTCGAGAAGTTGGTTTCCAAAAGAAAATCTGCCTTTTCATAGTTGATTTGGTTAGGGCTCCTTAATGCCTAAAAACTGTCAGAAATGTAAAATAATAAAAATAGAATGAAATAAAAACATCTAACCAGGTGAATTAAGGAGCACAAGTAAGTCCCTCTATTTTCTCTAAAATGTACTACATTTCATGTTATTTCATGTAACCACGATTCCCCATACTTAAACACAGTGGGAAAAACATGGCGGAGTCATGTAAAACCAAGACAAGAGTTACATGATTTTGCCACATTGTTCATGTTCTGCCACAGTTTGCCCCGTGTAAAAGTGGAGTAAAATCAAGAGTGACATCTCTTGTTTTTACAACAACATGCCACGCCACACATGGGGCAAAATGAAGCAAATTAAAGTGAAGTAAAGTAAGAACATGTGCCATCTTTCGCCACGCATGTAAAAACATGGGTTTTTTCCTAAGGGATATAATATAGATATATAATAATTAATGATATACAGATGAAATCAGACTGGTGATATAGATGATATAATAATTAACGATATACAAGGGTTCTTAAAAGTAAGATGCACTGTGTTGTCATAGTAACCAAAAGTAACCATTTAATCTTGCATACTTTTGCGACTTACTTGTTGACAACCCTTATTCCAAAAATATATTGAGAACATATCAACCTTAAAATTTTACATAGTGGTCAATAATGGTTGAAATTAATTAATGAAAACAATGAAAGAAATTCGAGCTATTCCATCCATTGGATGGCTTTACACAATGTCAGTGCGCGAAATAGACGTCCGACATTAACATAATTTAGAGTTGGTATGTCCTGATTATCACCCTTATCCTTTTCAGATTTTGTAAAAACTAAACCAGAAGTGACTTAAAAACACCAGTCAAAATTACCTGGGATCCTTTTTAAACTTTGGCGCCAAATTAACCCAGGCATCAAATTAACCCACTCCACGACATGTGCATCTTTCACAAGTGATATCATCTTGTCGCAGGTTTTCATCGAAAGTAGAATTCAACATTTTTTTTATTATTCACTGTTATTTCTCACTCATCTGAATGGAATTAGTACAATTACGTCATTTCGAAAGGGCAATATAGTGAAATATTGGACCGAGGGCCGTGTGAATATCATTTGTTATTCCATAATAACATGTTTTCACTGGGAATAAAACTGATATTCAAAAAATCCAGTATCAGATCCCATGTCAGCCAAAATCCTGTATTAGAGCTATTAGAAAATTTCATGTGACTAAATATTGTGTTATTATGGCATATTATGATCCATTTTAGTATTATAAATTATTTATTCTTTAAAACTTGTTAAAAAATGTAATTCGATAATTAAATTGTATCACTTAATGTCATCATCATTGGGTGACATACAGAACAAGTTCCAGAAATATATTAAGGAATAAATTGATTATTGATGGAATATGAATTACTGGAGAAAATATGATACTGGCCTCAGAAAATTTCATATTGACACTCGGGCTGTCACCTTCAGTCATTATATGATACTTTCCTTGGTCAATATCATATTTTCCCTCGAAATAAAATTCATATTCCATCCCTGGTAAATATCACTGTTACTTTTTAGTCATATGTAAGACATGGACCAATCAGAGAGTGAGGAATATGACAATGATATAATAATAAATCATATCAATGACTTTAATGAATTAAGTGATAGCAATAAAAAATCATAAAATGGTCTATCCATCCTATGGTTCACAAAATAAACTACTAATCAGGGTTAGCTTTCAAGTCTGTGGATATCTTTGATAATACTATTCTCTTTAATCCATTGATTGGAATATTCTTCATATTCCATAGATATTGTTGCTTTTTATCATGCAATTGGAAAATATTACAATTGGAAAATATCATAAGTATAATTTCACCAGCAGCTTTCCGTTTCAAGTGCCTGTTTGGCACTTATGCCTTGGTCACATTTGCTCAGATTTTCACGACGGCGCCCGAGCGATTGAGTATTTTGTTCAAAATTGAATACGATATTGAACAAAACACTCAATCGGCCGGCCGCCAGCTGATGGATCGGGGCAAATGTGGCCCAGGCATTAGGCTAGTAACCCTTGTCACTGTTATCCTTGACATCATCATAAATAAATCACAAAAAATATTCCATTGAGTAACTAAGTTTGAGTTGAGTTTGACTAAGTGTTGGGATCAGTAGTCTCACTTCTCTTTTTTAAGTTAAGTAAAATACAAAGAAATATGGATTAATGGAGATTTTATCCTTTCTAAATATTTCAACTCATGAAGCTTTACTGGAATGAATAGTCACTACTTAATGTGGACATGCAATGAATTATCCAAGTGTTCTTTACAGCCACTTTAAATGTTCATTCTTAACAAGATTAGAGAGATCACCAAAGCAGAGAGGCGAGTCAAATGAAGTCACCATCTCTACTGAACCAGACTCGGGGTCGAATTCAAACACCTTTTTATTTCCTGTCCTGGAAGCTTTTAAACCTCCAAATACCAATATTTTGCTGCTTTTCACCAGTAAGGTTGGGGCTGCGAGAACTGGAATTTCTTTGTGGCAGAAAGTAGTCCATTGGCTTGATTGTGGACTATATTTTGAAATTGTTTTACATAATGGCCAAAAGCAGTAAACTTCCTCATTGTAACACACTCCACGGATACCATGATGGGCAATCCTTTCCTCCATTTTGGGAGGATATTCTGGCAATTTTGGTCCCATTGATATGTTGCCATTCCTACTGTTATATATTTGGAGAAAACGGCAACTACTTTTATCCACAGTGCAACCACCAATAATGTACAAGAATCCTTTTGCAGCAACAGTCAAATGTCCATATACTGGATGGATCAAAGCAGTAGTAGCTTCTTGGGGTTCTTTCCAGGTATCATTTCTCCAATCGTACATGTCTATCCGAGAACTTACAGTCCCATCTGGCTCCCCTCCACCAATCAAATACATGTAGTCTCCACATAATGTAAATGTGAATCCTTGCCAGAATGCAGCATTTGGAGGACTGGCACAGTTAGTCCAGGTTGTCCTTGTATAATTCCCATTGTCGACTTCCTTGTACGTGTATCGGTAAAGAAACTGATGAGTTTCATATCTGTAAATGTTGTGTCCAACTAAACAGACTTCAGAGTCAAGTAAATCTTCATCATATGTATGTTCAGGTATTGTCCATGTCATCTTAAATGTTTGCTCTTTGGATAAAACTTCTCTGATAAAGTTGATAGAAATATCATCATTGTTATTTCTATTAAGGAAGGGTAAAGAAATTCTTGATGAAAAAAGGATTGTCTCACAATTTCTTGGTTTGCATCTGTAATAATGCTCTTCATGCTGGTAACATGGAGTGGTTTGGTGACGAAATGCAGCAATGATATAGTTATTCAGACATGGGAATGGATTGGTCAATGCGTGTGTGTAGATGTCATCAGTTAAGACTTTAGACTTTATGAAACAAAACCTGACACAATCAAACAGCTCCAAGACATACTCCTCTCGCTCTTCAGCCTTGGACATCCAGCGATCAACAGCATAAAAAACATTTTCTTCATCAGTGACAACTAGCCTGTCATCTCCAAGGTAACTGACAAGACAGTTTTTTTCAAGTTCCAATAATCCATCCGTCTTCCATACATCATCAAAGTGGTGCAACGCATATTCATTTGCTGTTTCGGCTAGCTTAGGTTGGCCTATACATTGAGCTGTCTGGGCAATTTCAAGGCAATTGTCATCTGCTATGTTCAACATGAGATAATCAGCCAAAATGTCCTTCATTCCATTTTCTATCTGGAACATATCAACAGCTTTCAGAGCTTCAAGTGCCTGCTTGACACTAAGGTTAGTATTCCCTATGTCACTGATATCCTTAAAGTCATGGTAAATGAATCGTAAAATATGTTCCATTGTGGTACTTGAAACATCTTTCAGCTCAATGGATTTCTTTGTGGTTTCAGCCATTCCATTTGTCAATAATGAACGGAAGTATGGTGAGTTAGCAGCTAAGATGATTTTATGGCAATTGAATTGTTTCCCTTCAACTTCCAATGTAACATCAGTGAAAACCTCATCCTGCCAAAGTTCATTCAGTTGAATTTTAAAATAAACACCCTTCTGGCCTGCAGGTCCAGATACACTATCAGAGACGTTATCTTTGTTTCCTTCATTTCCATTTGACGACATTGTAATACAGCCTGAAATTACAAAAACAATGTACTTAGCAAGGGATAACCTCAACAATACAGAACATATTTTATCTGATAAATGTGATAAAAGAAAAACAAAATAGCCTCATTTATTTTACCCCCACATCCCATAGTTGGCAGGTAAGTTAGAGAACTTATGTATCATTTTCTTTAGATCTCCAAGGCAACGTAAAAGAAACTGGATACCAACAGCTGATCACATTTAATGATAATGATTGCTCTGGTAGAAATAAAAAATCTCACGTATGGGACATCAAGTGATCAATGGTATGGGACATCAATTAACCAATAGTATGGGAAATTAAGTGATCAATGGTATGGGACATCAAGTGATTAGTGGTATGGGACATCAATTAACGAATAGTATGGGAAATTAAGTGATTAGTGGTATGGTAACCAATAGTATGGGAAATCAAGTGATCAATGGTATGGGACATCAAGTGATCAACAGTATAGGACACCAATTAACCAATAGTATGGGAAATCAAGTGATCAATGGTATGGGACATCAAGTGATCAACAGTATAGGACATCAATTAACCAATAGTATGGGAAATCAAGTGATCAATGGTATGGGACATCAAGTGATCAACAGTATAGGACATCAATTACCCAAATGCGAGTAGGTAATTACCAGTTTCACCACCAGGTGGCTGATTCGGGTCAATTAACATGGCAGGTATATAAGAAAGTTCCCTTAAACTTGAATATTATCAATTAAAGTGGCTCAATTTTCATATAACCCTTATGTGCCTAATACTTATACTAATGAAAATATGTCCAGTAAAGCAAAATATTATCTGTCCACTAAAAGAAAAGATATTTCATTTTTTGTGATTTTATAGCATGGGGTCTATGGGGAATCTCCCCGAGCTAGAAGTCACATTTTCAAAGAAAATTAATTTTTCAAAGTTGATAAACACTTTTTAAAACCACATTTCTAGATGTAATTTTACATGTAGATTTCAAATATGATATTACTTTGACTGAATTTTGAATTTTTAATGACGTAAATCAAGATTATTTCTACTCGCATCTGGGTAATTCTCCATTTCGCTGTTCGCTCTTTGAATCAGAACGTTCGCATATATGGTGCATATATGTACTCAAAAAGGACAAAATTTGATTGGTCAATATTTTTCAACGATGCATTTCGTGTAGCTATTTGTGAGACCCGAAAGTTCTAAATCAAATTAATTACGCAATTTTGTTTTTACACCCGCAAGCTAAATAAAAAAATGACACCATCGGAATTCTTCTTCTTTGTCATTGAATTAATAGTCAGTATACCAGATTTAATCAATAAAAGATTATACAATTAACAACAAAATTCGGAAACGAGTATGTAAGATTTGCTTTCGAACCACTAAACTTGACCTAGATAATAGCGACGTGTCTTCTTTGGTCAAATGCTCAGTTGTTTGTGGGTTTTCAACGTAACTCTATAATGTAATATGAAGATGAGTACTTTTATTCAGTTGTTGCATCGATGTTACAGTTTGTAGTGCGGTAATATTGGCATGAACGTGTTGAAAGTCGAATGGAATTGCTTTTTCCAATATGGCGACTAGTCACGTGACTTCTTCTCTTCCGGAATATACTCCCATTTTCAATCATTGTTTTCACCCCGTTAGGAGCCAATAAAATGAAAAAAATATATGTTATATAAAGATTATTAAAAGACTAATTGTTTCTGATAGTTTGTTTTCTCCAATCGCATGGAGATTCGATCGAAAATATCGCTTGAAAAATGGGTATGAAAATCCCCATGTTAAACCAACGGGGAAAAACAAGGTAGAAAAATTTTGTTCCCCCGCGAACTGCATCATGGGAAATATTTTGACCTTATAAGGAAAAACTTTCGCGCCATCTTTATTAGAGATTCAATACTACCGAATCCGCGATTTTAAGAATTGACCAATAGTAAGGGACATCAAGTGATCAATAGTATGGGATATCAAGTTATTAACAGTGTGGGAAATCAAGTAATCAATAGTATGGGACATCAAGTGATCAATAGTATGGGACAAGTGATCGATAGTATGGAATATCAAGTGATCAACAATATAGTAGCCCGGACAGAATTGTTCAATGGTCACTTTTTCTTTAATAACTTTTTTAATTTTCAGTATTATCAAATTCTGATTACATATTTGAAGACTAGAGTAAAATTCTGACATACAAAAAAAATATTTAAGGATCATCTTTTAATTTATTGATATTATAGGCGTTCATAGTATGGCTGACGCAAATACATAATTCATCATTTTGTCTCATATTTGTTCAAAATGGCGGCATATTTTGTGAATTTCAATGTCCAGTTGAAAGGTAATATTTAAAGATTGTCACAGGACTATAGAGCCATGCTGCAACTGTTACAATCCTGATGTAATGCAGCAACTGTCCAATCATCAAATACAAGAAGTCAACTCCCTCCAAGGGTATATGAAATCAATTCTATTGAAATGTTCGGGGTTGTGTTCAAGAGGATGTGAAAAGGTGGCGCCCCAATGTGCGGGTGTGATGAGAGTAGATCCTCAATCTTCAAGAACTCCAAACAGCCATCTCAGAGGCCATTGAAAAGCTGAAGAACATGTATGCCAAGAATGGGCTAAGAGGCTTTTGACTGGGAAAGACATTACAAACTGTGGCAGTATGACCCTATAGTTGCACAGGTTAACGAACTAGGGTTGCTAATCCACTACGAGTAACAATGGAATGGCCAAAAAACTTTAAGTCCTGCGACCTTACCAATATACTGTACATACAATGTACAATTACCTTTTTAAGTACTGGTATACATACAAGTCAATTTAAAACAAAAGGTTATATGCAGTCATTACCTCAAACCAAAGCAGCAGCCTACATGATTCCGTAGGCCTATGCCATTTCTTAACTATTAACTTTCAACTGAACATTTAAACCACAAAATATGCCGCCATTTTGAACAAATATGAGACAAAATGGTGAATTATTTATTTGCGTCACTCATACTATGAACGCCTATAATATAAGTAAATTAAGAAAAGTTCCTTAAATATTTTTTTTGTATGTCAGAATTTTACTCTAGTTTTCAAATGTGTAATCAGATTTTGATAATACTGAAAATTGAAAAAGTTATTTAAGAAAAAGTGACCATTGAACAATTCTGTCCGGGCTACTAAGATATAGTATCAACAGTATGAGATAACACAAATTCATAAATCTTATTGTTGCGCAAGACACATAACATATACACATGGCCACCATCTTGAATGAAAATTGGAAGTCACACCAGCAATTTTAAATGTTGCATTTCTACAATTTTGCATAAATAAACTGCTAGGAAAGCAGAGCTGTCCACGAGGGTATGGTCCTTTCAAAGGGGGAGATAGTGTAACGACCCTTGATACCAAGTTGCTACTACGGCCCAGCTGTAGTGGCTTAAGCCTTTATAGCTCAGTCGGTAGAGCATCAGTCTTCGACTCCCACGCGGAGCATTGAATTTAGCACAATTTCTTTATCTGGCTTGTAACACTATGCTCGTTAGTTAGTCATTCCCCTGGGGCGCCCTCGGGTCATTACAAATTTGTCAAAGTTGTCTGATCTCCTCTTAGAAGCAATATTTTGTCATTTCCGTCACTTAAAATTCCTTTAGGCTCTCTAGCAAAATTGGCTATCAAATGCTAAATAGCCTTAAATTATAGGCTCTTAATTCGAAATGCTAAAGAACCTTAAGATTTAAAATAGGTTACCAAAATGCTAAAGTCTTTAGTAAAGAGCCTAAAGCCCTGTAAGCACTATAAATAAATTTTCAATCATTTCAATTGTTTCAATCAGTTCAATCGTTACGTTTCGATGCTTGCGTCATTTCGAGCATTTCAATCCATTCGCCTTTGAAATGAATATAAAGTTTCGCTGTTTGCGCCTGTTTCGCCGTATAAAGCATTTTAATTATACGAAAAATTCATGAAGAAATGGGCGAAACGATTGATAAGAAAAACGAACATGCACGTTTTTCATTTCAAGCATTTCCCTAGGGCTTTTCAATCATTTCAATGAATACGTCTCGAAAAATAAAATTACTGTTTCGCTTTACTTCGGTCCAAAGCCTTCTCTATATTCCGGCTTTGAGGAGGAAGATTGAGCTGCCTTAGTATTATAAATATTGTAAATCATTGTGTCACACGCACAGTAAATATGGCATAATAATATGAAATATACCTTTATGTATAGATTTGAAGAACATCAGCTCACATCCCCGTCTGAATCTATTGTTATATTTGATTTCTTTAAGCGAGAATAATTTCAAACGTCCAGAACCGGAAGCCATTTCTAGCTACAGCGAGAAAATTTCACCATGTGTCAAACTCCGAAATGAAATTTTGAAATATCTAAATCCAGACAAGCAACGCTTCATCCTAAATATGATTAATATTCTTAAAAATATTTATAAAATTTATTAAAAATGAGTTCTAGGTGCGTGTAGGTGCGTGTAGCACCTTTTCTAGAGTACATACGAAATCAATGAAGTTTCGTCTAGCTGTAAGCTAGAGACTCGAGTAAGTTTCGCTGCTTTCGACTGTTTCGCCTTTTCAAGCGTTTTCAAATTCTCTTTCATTTCAAGCATTTCGTTCTTTCGCCCTCCGTTTCAAGCATTTCGCCTGCCAGTGTATACACCTTATCCCGTTCCAGGACTTCCTGGAACGGATAATATACACCCTTTAGGCTCTCCAGAGTACTTCCAAACATTCAAATTTTTCTGTAAGAAAGAAATATTTACCTCTTCCAACAAATAGATCAGTTGTAGCTTTCGAAAATGTTACAAATAGGTTAAGGTAAATCTGAGACCATCATAATAGAACTCACGTACTTACCTAGTTTCTAACTGTTTACTCTTTAGCGCCAACTTTTCAGAATTTTTCACAACCGGAAATCAGTTTTGACAGAATTTCCGAACGAGTTGGATTCGTGGTAAAATAACTCACAATCATCTTACACATTTTTTACATTATCCACTCCAATTATACTTAGACGATCACGATTTTTATTGCACATTGCATTTTGGTGAATAAGTTTCTTTCTGGAACCGCCAATCCTGCAACAAAGGCTTGTTTTGCAATTACAAAGTTACACGTTCGGAAATTTAGTGAAAATTGATTTCAGATTTCAAATAAAGTTTGAAGGTAAAGTTATGTAAGTTTACTTTGTTATATCCCGTTTCTTTGTTACATATGCATTGTAATAACAGGTTCGCTTCTTATGGATATAAATGAATTCAGGATTTTCTTTAGATTGGAGTTACTAATTACAACGAGTGGTCTCTCGTCGTGTGCAGGTATTTTATGCTAGTTTTGTGTGTGGTTTATTGTTGAAAGGCAATGGGCGTGGCACATGGACCTGTCACAAGTTGCACAGAGACCATATACTCATAACTAGAGCACTGGTACTCAACTCGATTATATCCAGGTTTACCGAAACAGATCATTTCTGTAGCAAAATGTCTGAACATTGAAGGCATGAACCAGACCCGGGGAACCAGAGTTTCCCGTAGCCTTATAAAAAACTCTCAATTTGTCATTATTAGAATTTGAGATTTGAAATTAAATTGAGAGGTGTTGCATCTGTAAACAAATATCCAAATTTTAAAGGGACAGCATCTAATAATTCAATCGAGTTTAGGCCATGCAGCCGAAGATACATGTAAGCCATACAACCAAAGGTAAGCCATACAACCGAATTTTGCCGATTCAGTCTGACGGAGAATGCCGAGCCTCTCTTTATGACCAATAAGAGACGTCCTCTTCACATTCGTGGCACCCTCAGCCAACTTTATCTGCAAAGAAAATCTTCGGCAATCTCCGGCTTTTCTTGAGGTACATGTATCTTTGGTTGCAAGCCACAATTAAAGTCGACACCCAAATTTTAAAACTCAACAAAGGCCTGAAATTAAAATATGAGGCCTTTTTTGGCCCCAAAATTAATTTGGGCCCAGAAGAGAATTGTAAGAACACCCATTGTCCTTTATAAAGAGTGATGAAAACATTTTCACACACCCCTTTTTCAAATAAACACCCATGGGCCTTTTCGCGAGAAAATGCAGTACGTAGAATCTACCCGGTGGCTGATTTCATATAATCCTTATGTATCTCATGATTATACAAACAAAAATATGTCAAGTAAAAGAAAATATTATATGCCCAACACAAGAAAAGATATTTCACCTTTTGTGAATTTGTAACATGTGGTCTATGGGAGGGTCTATGGGAATCTCCCCGACCTAGATTATTTTGACTTGGATCTTATGCCAACAACATTTTTATTACAAGTATGTGTCAGGTATCAAGTGTTTAAGGTACTTGTGGAACGAAAACATTTTTGAAAAGATTGTTTGTGACGGCCGTGGGTTAGAAGTGCAGATCTTAACCATTTTTGAAGTTAAGTCTACGTAACTAAAGTGATGTACCCAAATCGACGATTCTGTTGTCTTCTGAACTATTTGTTCACAAAAATTTACATTTTCTAAAACATATGATACTGACACAAAAATAAAATGTTGTGGGAATCCTGCCTACATTTCGTGAAATAAATAAAAAAATCTTACCTTATTCGAGGTTCTGACGTTATTGAAACGATCCATTTTGGTAATAGCACAATAAAATGGAGTACCAGTGTAGAGTATAAATGGCATGCGTTCTTCCACATTTGGCCAAAAGTCTAGGTGTAAACTAGTTGAAATCCCATGGTGTCAGGTATTGATACAAGTTTTTCAGTGTCCTGCAACGCAGGGTGGGCCCACACTCATACTACCCAGTGTCAGGGAGCACCTGTAACATGTATAATGTGGCCTTGGAGGTAGGCTACATATCAACTGAAAATGATATAAAAAGTTTCTCCAAAAATTAATGGAATTTTGTTTTTTATTTCTTTTTTCACATTCGTGGTAAGGATATTTGCATAGTTTATCCTCCTTGCTAATACACTGTTTTTGTCATTTCAGACTACAATGTCATCAAATGGAAATGAAGGAGACTCTGTCTCTAAAAGTGTCTCCGTACCTCTCCCAAATACAGGCAAGAAGGATGTTTATTTCAAAACTCATTTGAATGAACTTTGGCAGGATGAGGTTTTCACTGATGTTACATTAGAAGTTGAAGGTAAACAATTCAATTGCCATAAAATCATCTTAGCTGCAAACTCACCATACTTCCGTTCATTGTTGACAAATGGAATGGCTGAAACCACAAAGAAATCCATCGAGCTGAAAGATGTTTCAAGTACCACAATGGAACATATTTTGGGATTCATTTACCATGACTTCAAGGATAACAGTAACATAAGGATTAATAACCTTAGCGTCAAGCAGGCACTTGAAGCTCTGAAAGCTGTTGATATGTTCCAGATAGAAAATGAAATGAAGGATATTTTGGCTGATTATCTTATGTTAAATATAGCAGATAACAATTGCTTCGAAATTGCCCAGACAGCTCAATGTATAGGCCAACCTAAGCTAGCTGAATCAGCAAATGAATATGCGTTGCAGCACTTTGATGATGTATGGAAGACGGATGGATTATTGGAACTTGAAAAAAACTGTCTTGTCAGTTACCTTGGAGATGATAGGCTAGTTGTCACTGATGAAGAAAATGTTTTCTACGCTATAGATCGCTGGATGTCCAAAGCTGAAGAACGAGAGGATCATATCATGGAGCTGTTTGATTGTGTCAGATTTTGTTTTATAAAGTCTAAGGTCTTAACTGATGACATCTACACACACGCATTGACCAATCTGTTCCCATGTCTGAATAACTATATCATTGCTGCATTTCGTCACCAAACCACACCATGTTACCAGCATGAAGAGCATTATTACAGATGCAAACCAAGGAATTGTGAGACAAAGCTTTTTTCATCAAGAATTTCTCTACCGTTCAATAATGAATATGACGAGGACAGTTCTATTAACTTGATCAAAGAAACTTTATCGAAAGAGCAAACATTTGAGATGACATGGACAATGCCTGAACACAAGTATTGTGATGAGTTTCTTGACTCAGAAGTCTGCTTGGTGGGACACAACATTTACAGATATGATTCTGACAAGTGTCTTTACCGATACACATATAAGCAAGAGAATGGGAATTATACAATGGAATCTTGGATAAAGTGTGCAAGACCTTCAAATGCTACCTGCTTGGAAGGATTCACATTTACATTAAGTGGTGACTACATGTATTTGATTGGTGGAATGGAGGATAGTGGAGACACAACTGTAAGCTCTTGGATAAACATGTATGATTGGAGAAATGATGTCTGGCAAGCACCCCAAGGAGCTACTACCGCTTTGATTCACCCAGTGTTTGAACATTTGACAGTTGCTGTAAAGGGGTTCTTGTACATAATTGGTGGCTGTACCGTGGATAGAAGAAGTAGCCGTTTTCTCCAAATATATAATAGTAGGAATGGCAACATATCAATGGGACCAAAGTTGCCCCCATCTTCTCAGGAATTAGAGGAAAGCATTTCCCAATATGGTATCCGTGGAGTGTGTTACAACGAGGAAATTTACTGCTTTTGGTCAGGGTGTCAAACCATTTCAAAATATAGTCCCCAAGCAAACCAGTGGACTGATTTATACCACAAGGTATTACCGGTTCTTGAATATGCAACATTAATTGTGAGAAGCAGCAAAATATTGGCATTTGGAGGTTTGAAGGCTCCATTTAGAGGAAATAAAAAGGTGTTAGAATTTGACCCTGAGTCTGGTTCAGTAGAGGTTGTGACTTCATTTGACTGTCCTCTTTTCTTTGGTGATCTCTCCAATCTTGTTAAGAATGAACATTTAAAGTGGCTGTAAAGTTACAGGGGTGGATATATGAAAAGCAACTAGGGGGAGGGGGCATATTTCAAGTTTGAGGTGAAAATATTTTGGACCCCTGAAACCCAAAAATGAGCCTAAATTTGGAAAATTGATGAGGTTATAATTTGGCCTAAAATATTTTTGGGCCCAATTTTTTTCTGCCCCACTTTCTCCAGCCATTTTTATATATGTTATTTTATGATTTTTACTACAACTGGGAAACCAGCAGATTTTGTAGATATTTTTTACGTTGTAGGGTGCTTAGTGCACACACTGCAATGTGGAAATAATGGGATGATGTTTATATTTGATATGTAAGAACTTGGAGGTTGAGCCATTGTCTCTGTTTGATGAAGGGCATTTTAATTTGTGTTTCATTTTTTGTGTTATATCTTGAAAACTAATAGAACCATTTTGTTGATATTTATATATATAAAAACATGCAAATGACACATTCTGCTCGAAAGCAGATTTTCAAAATTGCCACCAGTTTCAAAATGACCACCAGTTTCGCAATTTTGGTGTCATATATCTTTACAGTATTTTAGGTACAACTGTAATATTAACATGTTTTAAATGCAAAGAAATTGATTAGTTAAAAAATCCAAGGAGGATTGGAAGCTGTTATTCATCTAGATACTCCTTCGCCCGGAGTACACCAATTTAGTAACACTATTACTCATTTTTGCAGACTAGATCTGCTGAGGAAGCTTGAATACTACCAACATTTTCTTAATGACCATCTCTCAACAAATAACTTTGTCCAAAGAGAACTTTAATATTTTTACTAAATTGTACAACTGCAGGCAACTAAGTATCAGTTTGAATAATGGCTGCCAATCCTCCTTGTTAAAAATCTAAATATTTCAAAAACATGGTAGCCATCTTGAAAAATGGCGGCCGTTACATGCTATTTCACGGCATGTGTTAAAACTGGAAAAGAGTGTTTTTGTTCATATTTGATATTTAAATACCCATAAGCATGGCCACATTTTTAAGTGTGTTATTTTAGGTTTTTTATCATAACTTAAAAAGTAATGGAGCGATTCTGTTCTTCTTTGTTATGTGCATATCATATGCATACTCAAAAGCATGGTACTGTCACTTTGGCTATTATGTCACCACCAAAAGTGGTGACATATTGTTATGGTCTCCGTTTTTTGCGACGGCGGTTGGCGTCCGGCGGTTGGAGGTTGGCGTCCGGCGTCTGTAACAATTTCTTACAACTTCCTATAACTTAACAAATACTGTTTAGACTGACTTCAATTTTTTTCTAAATCATCTACATGTTCTCAGAAGTTCAAATCTGACTTTAGATTTGACATTTGACCTTCAATGACCTTCTCAAGGTCAAAAAGGTCTTTTTTCAACTTGCTTTACATTGACTAAATTTTTTTTCAAAATCATCTACATGTTCTCAGAAATTCAAATCTGACTTTAGATTTGACTTTAGTTTTGACATTTGACCTTCAAATCTGACTTTAGATTTGACATTTGACCTTCAATGACCTTCTCAAGGTCAAAAAGGTCTGTTTTCAACTTGCTTCAAATTGACTAAATTTTTTTTCAAAATCATCTACGTGTTCTCAGAAATTCAAATCTGACTTAAGATTTGACTTAAAATTTGACATTTGACCTTCAATGACCTTCTCACGGTCAAAAAAGGTCAAAAAGGTCTGTTTTCAACTTGCTTCAAATTGACTAAAAAAAATTTCAAAATCATCTACGTGTTCTCAGGAATTCAAATCTGACTTTAGATTTGACTTAAGATTTGACATTTGACCTTCAATGACCTTCTCAAAGTCAAAAAAGGTCAAAAAGGTCTTTTTTCAACTTGCTTCAAATTGACTAAATTTTTTTTTCAAAATCATCTACATGTTCTCAGAAATTCAAATCTGACTTTAGATTTGACATTTGACCTTCAATGACCTTCTCAATGTCAAAAAAGGTCAAAAAGGTATTTTTTCATCTTGCTTCAAATTGACTAAATTTTTTTTCAAAATCATCTACATGTTCTCAGAAATTCAAATATGACTTTAGATTTGACTTTAGATTTGACATTTGACCTTCAATGACCTTCTCAAGGTCAAAAAAGGTCAAAAAGGTCTTTTTTCAACTTGCTTCAAATTGACTAATTTTTTTTTTCAAAATCATCTACATGTTCTCAGAAATTCAAATCTGACTTTAGATTTGACCTTTGACCTTCAATGACCTTCTCAAGGTCCAAAAGGGCCTTTTTTCAACTTGCTTCAAATTGACTAATTTTTTTTCAAAATCATCTACATGTTCTCAGAAGTTCAAATCTGACTTTAGATTTGACATTTGACCTTCAATGACCTTTTCAAGGTCAAAAAGGTCTTTTTTCAACTTGCTTCAAATTTACTTAATTTTTTTTTCAAAATCATCTACATGTTCTCAGAAGTTCAAATCTGACTTTACATTTGACCTTCAATAAAAGTCAAAGAGGTATTTTTTCAACTTGCTTCAAATTGACGAATTTTTTTTTCAAAATCATCTACATGTTCTAAGAAGTTCCAATCAAACCTTCTTAAGGTCAAAAGGTATTTTCCAACTTGCTTTAAATTGACCAAATTGTTTTAGGTGGTGACATTTTGTCATGTTAATGCCTTGTATACTGTAGCTATATACAGTATAGTGGGTGACCACTATTTTTATGTGTGTAATTTTACAATTCTAAGCAACTTAAAGTAATGGAGTGATTCTGTTGAAATTTGTTATGTACCTATCTGCTTCTATGTATTTAGCTGTATCATGTTTTGTTCTAATAAATCGTGTTAACCTTGCAAAAATTCTTTTTAATGTAAAAATTATTTAATAACCATTGAGTGTCTTTCGACAGCAGACTTCAACAAGTTGGATTAAATGTCATTTTTCAAATAAACATGCTCAAAGGCAGCATTAAAATCCCACCTTTCCTTTTCCTATTTCACTTGAAAGACCATAAACTGATGAAGGGAACAATTTGTATACAATCAATGCCACTTGGAATAGAAACAGCTTGAATTAACTTTCACTTAAAGTAGGACAACTCAACACGCAATCTTGGGTTGTTCCAATCCGAGGTAACGAGTGATATTTTGAGCTATAATGAAAGAATAAAACGTATTTAAAAAAGAATTATATACAGTACAAGATAAACAAATGGAGGAAAGTGTCAAAACACTCCTGATAAAGGTGTCAGTATCGGGATTGTTATTACGATTGTTCGGACGATTTTCCGGTTCTGAGCAACACATAACTACTAGATTAGAACAATCAAAATAAATTGTGATGAATTTATCCTGCAGACGTAAAGGGAGTGCCTTGTGGTTCAGTGTCAGAATCCTCGCTCATGACGTTCATCAGTTCCCGGAGATCAACCTGATTTTTAGCTGTACTTATGATGAAAAAACAGTATATGTTACAACTCCATCAACTAAATAAGCATTAGTACTAGTCATATGAATATGTCCACATATCTTTATGTTAGTCTCGGCTATAAGTACGCTATTCAGTGGCGTAGGAACAATGGACGCCAAAACGTCAATGCGTAGTGTTGAAAAGCAAGAATAAAGACGCTTATTAATTTCCCTATGTTCTTTAGTCATTTTCCTCATTGTTAATAAATTGCCAAGTTTGTGATCTCGAGCACACTAAAGAAATGTTTTTTGGACACCATTATGTTCCATTTTTCAGTAGTACTCTTTGCAAGTTTTTTGTGCCTCTGTTATTTTCTAGCTTCGGCAACAGATAAATGGCACTTTTTGGCGTAAAAATCAAAATGATTGCGGGTAGAGGGGCAAAGTTATGATAGCCGGATGTTTAAGCCAATAAAAATGAAATTCGTAAAAATATATTGATTGTTACATTGTTTCTAATACTGTAGAAAATGCAAATTAATCATGTGTTTGGTGGATTGAATTCTCTTTCGTCCAACATGCTTTATTTCATGAAAATCGATTTTAGTTAATTTTTGTACATGTTCCGTAATGCTTATGTAAACTGTGGTACCAGTGGAGACGATGGGCTCGATTGCCGTATCATACTGCATTTGAACGGCGATACGGCAATTGCCGTATAGAACGTCATTATTTGTAATAACGGTTATCTTTTAAAAATCTAAACAATTCCGGACTTCAAATTTATATTAAATCATATAACATCCATAGTAGGTACAATTTTGAAGTTTTTTTCCATAAATAGGGGGTTCAAATTTAATGACATGAAATATTTTATCCTAGATATCGTTTATTTCTACTCCAGTGCACAAGGGCCGATTACAACCTGAAATCCCTGAAATTGTGAAATTGCAACAGACCCTCCTTGTACTTAATTTCGGCAATATTAAATAAAGAGATGGCATGAATTTTTTTATTGATATTAGAAGAACATATATAAAATAAACTTTTCCTCGCGTGCATTTAAATTCTGCCGTGTGCAATTACTCCCGTGGGTTCTCAAAGTTTCACTTATTTTAGGCAAAAGACAAAAACGTACTTTGGGGGTTAAGGTGCTCTTCAGACATTCCAGAGGCGAGAATAACATGAAACCAGACAGGTTTTCATTTTAATTTTATCGTTTTTATAAATAACATCGTCTTCCTGCATGCATTTTGGGTTTGATTCATCCTTTACACTGACGTTTTAGGTATAAAAGTCTCGGCTTTAAGTCATTACTAGATCGCGTTCAAAGTACTAAGTACCGTTCGCATTACCATTGTTCTCAGACGGACAATGCTGCCTGGATAATTTCGTCCAGCAACCAATTCGCCCAGAAACAAAACCAAGAGACGTATGTAGCAAGTGCCATTTCTAGAAACTCAGTTTAGAGTCGGGAAAGTGACTTGAGAATGCAGGAAAATGCAGAATGCCCGATTCCTCAGTATTTCTCAAGTGAATCTTCGATTATGGAGAAACTTTTTCACGCTCGAATTCCACCTATCTATTGCACATGGATCGCTTCAAAAGTGATACAATCGGGAAGCTTGTTTTGTCAGCTTCACTATGACATTATGCTTTTAGAAATCGACCGAGAAATGGCGGAGAAAAAGACCGAAAAGTGTCATTTCTAAAACGGCGAGTTTGGAGAGCTAAAGTGG